ACCAAAAAAAAAAAAAAAGAAAGAAAAGCTCTTAGATAATGCCATACTTAATTACTTGTCTTGCCCCTACTTTGTTTGGTTTTTTAGCTCGTTATACAACAGCGGACTGAACAACACAGCCTTGACTGTTGTGTTGGGTAACACCACACAACTGGAAATAGATAAAATTCATATAGAATACCCTCGGTTTAGGATTTTATCTTTAATTTAGGAGTCAAAGCAGAATTTGGGTTGTTTTTGTTTTTGTTTTGTTTTTTGAGACAGGGTCTTGCTATGTAGTTTAAGCTGGCCCTTAACCCACTGTGTAGCCCAGGCTGACCTCAAACTCGCAGCTGTCCTCCTCCCTCAGCTTTCCAAGAGCAAGGATTACAGGTGTGCACCACCATGTCTGGCCCCAGATTCTTTATTTATTTTTTTATTTATTTTTGGTACTGGGGATCCAACACGGGACCTTGTGCTTGTGAGGCAGGTGGCAGAACCACGGCGCTAAATCCCGACCCAATAATAAATTATTAAAATATTTGAAATGTGAAGACTTTCTCTGATATCTTTTTATAGTTTCCCATGCTAAGGGCATTATTCACTTCCATTACACATAGGCAGGACAGACATTCAGCTTTCAGAGTTAAAAGGATGTTTCCAGTTTTTATTTATTTATTTGTTTATACCTCAGCCTCCCCAGTGCTGGGATTACAGGCATGCACCACCACACCTGGCTCCAGTTTTATTCCTAAAAAGCTATCAAGTTTCTTAGTATTTGAATAATACATTTATGTCTTGAGATTTTAGTGGGTAATGTAAGAAAATCAGGGTGCTTGATGTGGGAAGTGTAGGCTTTTCTTTCTTTTTAAAAGCTTTTCAACCACAGTGATCTTGCTTCTCCCATTGTGGCAGAAGAGCTCTCATGGTAGACACATGAAATGCCACTGCCTTGTGATAGTGTTCTGAATAAATAAGTCATTGGTGTGTAAGTACCTGCTTGGCCCAGGAAAGTCAACATCGTGTTAGAAGTCTGCCCACCACGGGGGTAGGTCTGGTCTGGATTCCAGCATCAGGTTCTGGAAACAAGCAGACAAGACTGAGGACTTTGAGGAGAGAAAGTGAATACAGTGAACTGTGTCCTCCTCCCTTAGGGGACTACTTACAGGGCCTTAAAGGGCTGGGGTGCGGGTGGGGAGAGATGTGCGCTCCGCATTATCCCCAAGAAGATAAACTGGTGATCACAAAACTGTAGCATCTGCAGGATACAAGCGTGAGTATAATCGCAGTTATTGAACCAACTTTGACAATTCCTCTTAGCTGTTCTCCAGGACTCAAACTAGAAAATATGTCACTGCGTATGCACACCAGGTGGAATAAAGGAACAGCTTCCAGCTTGTAAACTTTTAAAATAACAAAGTCTCCAGCTCTTGATTTAAAGCTTGAGTATTAGGAAGAGAACTCACTGGGAGCTTGTCTGCTTGTCTTGCTTGGACAGCACAGTCCTTAGTAGAGGTATAATTTAAAACCCCTAGGCTGTCAGTCCAGAGCACGATAGCTGACGGGGAAAAGGCGTGTGGTTCATCTGCTGAGGAAGGCAGATGTGTGTTCCTCAAGGCAAGGCTGACGTGTAGCCTCTTAAGCGATGTGTATGTAACTCTCAGTGGGGTTTCATATTTTCCTCAGTAATGCTTCTGGAAAAAAATCACTGAGGTAAAGGAAATCAAAGACTCCTGATACACCTTGCCGAGTTACCCTACAAGATGCTCTTTGAAGGCCTGGCATACTGTAAGGTGTGATGAGGACAGCACAGTTATTTAGAAGAATAAATACCCTCATGCCTGAATTTTAGGTGAAAACACTACTTACTGAAACATCCACAGTACAGTTCCATTTGTTTATTAAAAAATAAAAGCAAAAAAGAAAAGTTCAACTGTTTGAAAAAATTGCCGATGTTTCCATGTGGAACCATTTTATTTATTTATTAGTTTGTTTTTGTTTTTTGAGATAGGGCCTCACTATGTAGTTGAGACTGACCTGGAACTCACTACATAGTCCAGGCTGGTCTCGAACTCACAGCGATCCTCCTGTCTCAGCCTCCCGAGTGCTGGGATTACAGGCATGAGCCACCATACCCGGCTTGTGGAACCATTTTAAAGTGATTTCCTTCTGGAGTGAGGATGGGAAGTTAGTGACAGAGGTGCTGTTAATTTTTAACTTTTGTATCGATGTTTATATTTCACAAAACACTTTTTTACAACCAGAAAGGATTTTTAATTACTGTAGTAGCGAACACATGCTTAGCATGTGCTTTCTTACTTTCGTGTATTTACTCACTCAGTCCGCCTAATGACTCCTGGAGGTGGTTCCAGCGCTCATTCCGCTTCACAGCTGAGGAAACAGACACAGAGGTGAACTAGTGCAGCGGCAGCCGCTGTAGGTGATAGAGCTAATGACTCTGCCAGTATTTGCCAGATGAAAATGGTCTGCCAAGCCAGGTGCTGTGGCAGGGATTTGTAATCCCAGCCCCCAGGAGGCTGAAGATAAGGAGTTCGGGCCAGCCTGAGCCACTGAGTGAGGCCTTGTCCCTCGGCAGGAAAGTCCTGCCTTAGGTAGAAGGATTGTCCGCCTGCTTCAAGGTGCTGGGGCCATGGTAAGGGTCACTCACATCTAGCCTTTCTAGGCATGTCTTCTCCAATTCCTAAAACATGGAAAACACGTGTTAGATTAATAATTGCTTGTTTGGGGGCCAGGGAAGTAGCTCAGTGGTGCCTTGCCTGCCTGGAAAGTGCAAGGTCCTCAGTTGGATCCCCAATATTTTTTTTAAAAATTGTTTCTTTGTTTCATGTTTTGTTTTGTAGTACTGAGATTGAACCCATGGTCTTCAGACTGAGTTATACATCCCAAGTCCTTGTGTTTTTCTTTGTTCTTTTTAATTCTGACACTGAGTTTCCAAGGTTGTCCAAGCTGGGTTTAAATTTAGGATCCTCCTGCCTCAGCCTCCCAGAGTTCTAGGATTACAGACCTGCACACCACACCCAGCTTTGCTTGTGTATTTTTAGTACAGAAAATGTAAATTTACTGTGTATACTGGTTTGGAAGTCCTTCAGAGAAAAGCTGGCATTGTTAGCTGCTCTTTTCCCCACCTCCACAGGCCTATTTGGAACCCCTCATCTTTTTTGGTTTTTGAGACAGGGTCTCACTATGTAGTTGAGACTGACCTGCAACTCACTATGTAGCCCAGGCTGGATTTAAATCCGCAGCAGTTCTCCTGCCTCAGCCTCCTGAGTGCCGGGATTACAGGCATGAGCCACTACGCCCAGCCCCCTGGTCTTCATTCTGCTGAGCCAGAGCAGCTTTGGAAGTTGTTTATTTTACTCACGGGGTTCCATAGAAGAAGTGGTCCCGTTGATTTCAAAAGATGTTTGAAAATTCTGGAAGCAGTGGGAGTAGAAGAAGAAAGTGAAGAAATTATACTCTCTTCTCCATCAGATATTTTGCAGAGCTGTAAATTTAAGGATGCTTTTGGCGTATTTCTTACAGTCAGAGCCCTCCCAAGTATTTAAAGGACCTTGAGTGTTATCTCTGTCCTGGCTTTGCCAGTTGTATGTTAGCAGCTTTGCATTTTCTCTCCTCTGCGTCCGTGTGGAATGAGGCTGTGCACCTGCCCCATACCTGTGCTGTCTGGCAGTACCGGCTGAGGAGTGGCCGGTAACAGTGGGACAGGGCCGCAGTTGGGAGGACGGGATCGCAGGCTGAGAATGCACTGCGCTAGGGGGGCCTCTCCTAAGCAGCATGTCAGTGAGCGTCCTCCGCCTGTGAGCCGGGAGGAAACTGAGGCACGCGCCATGCTGATGGAGGGGATGCAATGGGGCTGGATCCTCTCCTTTGTCAGGTCGGTCTGGTGCAGCCCTTGCCCCAGCAAGGTTCATTTTCAGGGTCGAGCTGGTTTTGATGGCAACTCTGACCAATGTGGCCCTCGAGCTGGGATAGTAGAGAAACTGCCAGCATACATTTTCTCAAACCACATTTATTGTAAACAGGGAAATTGTGGAAAAACAAAAAACAAAAAACAAAAAACATAATTCCATCACTTTGTTATGAAGTTGGCTTAGGTAGTCACCAGTTTTAGTAAAATTTCAGCTCCAGCACCCTTCAGCAGACCCTTTGGGCCAGGCGGCTAGAATTGCCAAGCCCTCTGTGCACTGCCTGTGCCCGCCCCCTTTTCCTGCAGCCCCGCCCCTTTTGACTGTTGCCCCAAAAGCTGCCTTCCCTGGCCCTTGTGTAGTGGCTGCTCCCTCCCAACAGTGTAAGGAAGTAGGACCTCACAGGCAAGGAAGGAGAAGGAACAAGTTCACAAGGTGTGTTCAGTGAGTGAAAGGGGAGGAATAAAACAAAATGTGGAGCAGCACCGAACCCTTTCCCCCAGAAAATTTTGCTTCATCGTCTGACTTTGTGATGAGTCAGCTGCATTAACTTTATGCTCTGGGTTTGTGCAGAAATTTAAATTTTGTGGTTGCGTTTAGGTTTCCTCTGGGATGCCCATTGGGATACAGCTGTTAACTGTAAACTGTTTAGACCAACTTTGTGATGTTTCTAAGTCAGGTTTGTTTAATTGTGGAGCAGATACAGCTGCATAGCTGAGGTGTACTGTGGACTGTTTTAAGTGTGTGTGAAACTAAAATAGCTTGCCTAGTAATAAAGTTCCCTTTTTTGAAAGCAGCCTCAGATTTTAGTAAACCATTATTATTTATAAACTAAGCATTAAGCAGAGAGAAAATTGGCTTAAAGACACACTTTCTAAAACATTTTAGATTCCAGCTTCTAAATTGGTTGATTGCAAGAGCTGCCTGAGGAACAGAATTAGGGCTCCTCTCACTGCTCCTTGTTTATTTCTGCAGCACACTTGCCTTAGCTTTGCGGCAAGTCAGGATGCTTATCTGCGTTCTCCACATTGCCATCTGTGTACACATGACAGATTTCGGTCCTGCTCTGGTTCATCTATCTGCCCTGTCCGATAGGTTCCTGGGTGGAGCTTCCCATGAACAGCAGCAATGGCAATGATAATGGCAGCGGGAAGAATGGGGGCCTGGAGCACGTCCCCTCCTCATCCTCCATCCACAACGGAGACATGGAGAAGATACTTCTGGATGCACAGCACGAATCGGGACAGAGCAGTTCGAGAGGCAGTTCTCACTGTGACAGGTGAGTGAGACCCAGGTGTGGCATGATTCGGAGGACTGTGCTCCGAGGGTAGTAATCCACAGGAGAAAACATTTCACTGCTTGAGTCTTCATGTAACAAAATAGACCCTCAGTTGATTGCAACTGGTATATTCAGATCAGACAGCTAATTGAGAGGCACTTAAGTACCCACTGTTTTTCCTCATGTTAAGTCATTTTTCTTAGATTGTGTTATTTTTAGGTGTTTTAGCAATTTAAAAGTCGTGGTATAAATGTTCCCTTGTAGAGTTTGTCTTTCCCTATTTTCCTGTTTCACAAGTCACCTGTGCCTGAATTACAGTTCCCTCTGCGGACATGTGTCCTGTGTAGGTGGCTTCCAGAGGAAGGGGTCAGCTTTCCTTCTCCTCCCACCCATCACAGTGTGCAGCTGTGAGCAGCAGTCAGGTGGTGCTGGGCTCCGCGGAGCTTCGAGCTGATTCACAGACGGTACTTGCACAGTGGAAGTCTGTACAGATAACTCATTTATAAGGCCATTGCCTTTCGTTAGAGGAAGTTGTTTTGTTTTTGTTTTATTCTCAAATGCTATGGACTAAATACAAGGCCTTTGCACTTTGCACTGAGCTATATCGCCAACCTTTTTTTTTTTGAGATAGTTTCTCAATAAGTTGCTGAGTTGTCTATGCTGGACTTAAACCTGTGATCCTCTTGCTTCAGCTCCCACAGTGCTGATATTATGGATGTGCACCATCATGCCTGATTCCTCAGGGAATTTTTGTTACTGATTTTTTTTTATATATATATATTTAACTAAAAGTAATTCCACTGATTGAGATTTGCTTATGTGACAGAGTAAGAATTTAGAGACACGTATATGTAGCATGAAAGCAGGTCATTAAATTATTTTTCAGTCTAAGCTTTTCTTTTTTGTTTCCAGAGGAACTAAGTATTAAATGACACTTAAAAATTCTTAGTGCATTTGGGTGTGGTAGTGCAGCGCTACAATTGTAGCTGCTGGGGAAGCTGAAATGGGAGGATTGCGAATTTGAGGCCAGCCTGGGCAACTTTGAAAGGCTCTGTCTCACAATAAAATTCAAGAGCGAGGAAAGCACCTCAGTGGTGGAGCACCCCTGGGTTGATCCAGAGTACTGGAGAAAAACATTTTAATGCAGTGACTGGCACGCTGTTACATTGTGATATTAGGTTAGTTCTGCAAACCAGTATAAAGCATACAAACAGCACTGGAAGAAAGAGTAAGGGAACACCTGAAAAATGAATAGTTAACTGTGGAGGACAGAATTATGGATACTTCTTAATATTTTTATAGTTTGGAAAAAATGGTGCATATAGTATGCCCTTATCAGAGAAAATGAAGGGTGGGGAAGGGGTCACATCACGCTGGGTCTTTGTGTGGCTTGTGGACCACGGAGGCTGGGAAGGCAGCCCAGGGCCTGGTTTGTGGGCCACGTGACACACTGACACCCCGACACCCCTCCTGTCCCCGAGGTATCTCTAAGCTGGCTTGTGCTTCTTAGAGCCTGGGGGTGGCTCTTGATGTAAGCAGAGCTGAGCAGATGGTGAGCTTGCTGTCACTTCAGTGGCAGCAGCATAAGTCTGTCTTCCAAATGAAGATTTAGGTCATGGAATTGATGAAAGATTTCCTAAGTTCTCTGTTGCAGTGCCTGCTGGTTTGGCCTATTTTACTACACTCAAGCATATGAATCCATGAGCCTGTTGTTCACACGGTGCAGAGAGGAAGACACTTGCTCACCTGTGGTCCTCTTGCGTCGTTTACAGCCCTGGCACACATGGTGTAACACAAATCTGCCTTCCCAGGGTGGTCTCACTGTACGTCTCTGAGTTTGTGGAAAGAGGCATGGCTGATGCTTTCGAACACTTTGTTATTCCTTCCTTAGCTCGCCTAGAACTCCCCTCAGTAACGCTCTCCTAGGGTTTTGGATTTACATATTTACAGTTTAGTGATGTCTTCAATATTCATGTCAGTTGAGTGGACATATTCTGCTACACATGAAGTAGTTAAAGTGTTTTGTTATAGGTGGAAGAGTTTTAGGGTAGTTGGGTATTTTCAACTTAAAAATTATTTCATAGATTTATTTTTGTCTCTGTAGTGGTTGGTAGAAGACAACGCTCAAATGTTACATAACTATAAAGGTTTCCAAACTTGATTGCCCATTAGATTGATTCAGGGAGCTTTTAAAAATAGCAAGGTGTGGGCCAAGGATGTAGCTCTGGTGCCAGTGCCTGCTTGCAAGTTTAAAGTACTGAGTTCAATCCCCCAGTACCAGGAAAAAAAAATAGCAAGGTGCAAGCCAAGTGTGGTTGCGCGCACCTGTAATCCCAGTGCTCTAGGAGGCAGAGGCAGGAGGATTGCAAGTTCAAGTCCTCTCAAGGTGGGAGGAGTTTGGGGCTTAATTGCTAGTACTATCAAAAGAAACCCTGAAAAGTGCCCACACCATCCCTAGAGCTGTTAGGGCAGAGCAGAGACATGGGAATGTTTTCCAGGTCACCAGGAGGAGTGAGCAGTGCAGTGCGCCAGTGAGGAGCCAGTGTTTCTCCAGTGGGATCAGAACAGTGGGCAGGACATGTGTCATAGGGCAGTGCTCCGTGGGCCTTGACCTGGGCACAGCAGCACAAGGCCGGCCCGTATATTGATGCCAACCCAATATGAACAAGCACAGAGGCAGCAGACTGAGGGTGAAGAGTGCCTCATCGTGGTGCCCGGCCGTGGTGTCCAGTAGCTCCAGGTGCTTGCTGTCCCATCCAAAGAATTGTCTGGGAATGCCAATGGATCAGCTCACTACAGGTATCAGTGTTCACTAGAGAAACGGATTCAATGCAGGACATACAAATACGTAAGAGTTGACAAGGTGGGCTTGTGGAGTCAGGTGCAGGAGGGCTGTCTGTGTGCTGGAGACCCGAAGGATCCTGTCGAAGGCCAGGCGCCCACTGTTGTGTCCCGTGCAAGTCCATGTCACGAGACTGAAGGGTCTGCGCCGGAAGCTGGGTGACAACTTCCAAGGTACAGGTGAAGAGGAACTCCTCTCAGTGACTGTTTCGTTTCCTTTTTGCTCCATTCAGGCAACAAGCCTGTTGGTTGGTGTCACTCACACCCCAAGTTGGTCTTCTGTCTGAAGTCCCTTCAGCCACACCCAGAACTATGCTGTTCAATTCAGTTGGGCGTTTTCTACTCAGTTTGACACAGTAAATGATCACAGTCCACGAACTTGAAAACATGTTTATTTAAAGTGGAGGAAGGGTCCAGGGATTTAGCTCAGTGGTGCCTCGCCTGCTTCATAAGCACAAGGTCCTGATTTCCATCCCCAGTACCACACACACACACACACACACACACACACACAATAATAGTAATAAAGGAAAAGAAGTGAAGAAGCAGTGAAATTTGAAGGAAAATGAAGGTATGTCTTGTACCAGGCCAGACTGGCAAGAGCACAGCAATGCCATGTTGTCATCTTTGTCTTCTCTCCACGTCAGCCCCGGCAGGAGCCCACTGCATGTGCATCCTGGGCAGACACTGACAGCCTCTGCCGTGCCCTAATCTCTTGTCTCAATTCTGCGTCCCTAGGCAATAGCCTGAAATTTCTAGTTCAAGAGAAAATTTTTCTAAATACATGTGATGTGTTTGATATCAAACCAGCTTTTCTGTTTTTACCGTCTCAGTTACCAATGTCCTAGGCCTCATAAGTGTGATTTATTTCTGGTGCTCTTTATTTTTGAGTCCATCTCACCAAATCTCAGTACATTCACATGCATGTACACTCTTGGTAATGTCATTAAGTCTGTTCCTCTGAGCAAAATAAGCCCTGTGCATTTTCTAGCTTTATTTTATTTTTATTTTTATTTTGGTACTGAGGATCAAACTTGGAACCTTGTGCTTGCAAGGCCAGCGGTGGAATCACTGAGCTGAATCCCTTGCCCTGCTGCTTTATTTTAGATACAAAAGAGGACACCATATTTGTAGTAAAAGATCCAGTGATTTGCTGTGTTTACACAAGGAATTATTGATAAACCAAGAAAAGAACTCAGCACATTAAATTAATTTATCTTATCAAATGCAGTTTGTGAATTTATTTGTAAATTTGAAGGGTACCAGCGATTGAACTTGTGGGCTTAGGCTCGAAAAGCAAGTGCTGCACCCCTGAGCGGTGTCCCTGGCCCTATCTGCATTTTTGTAGATCTGGGAGTATGTTTTGTACTATCCTAGAGGTTTTATATTCAGATACATTTTTAATTAACTCACTCTGAAATATCTTGGCATATATTTATGAGATAAATAGAATAATGGTTCTCTAAGTTTCAGGTCTTTTTTCTCTTTTACAATCTAAAAAAATACTAGGTACTTTAAAGAGGTTTTGTGGCTGAGTTGGATATTTGGATATTTGCTATATTAGACATTAAACTGGCCTTAGGATTGTAGCTCGGAGCCAGGGTGTGGCTGAGGGCCTGTGTCAGTCCCCACCATCACCCTCCCCCAAAGGAAACAAAAACAAAATTTAAATCAGGCCTGGTGGCTATAATCACAGCTACTCAGAAGGAAGGCTGACAGGGCAGGATCATAAGTTTGAGGCCAGTCTGAACCACTCAGCAAGACATTATCTCAAAAAGCGCCTGGACACAGCTCAGTGGTAAAGTGTTTGCCTAGCAGATGTGAGGTGCTGGGTTCATTCTCCAGTACCACGCACAAAAAAAATTGAGTATTTATTCATTAAAAAATGATAAGCTCATTACATTATAATGTAAGTACTCTTCTAATGAAAAAAAAACTATTAGTCATGACAAAAAAAGAATTAGTAAGAAATAGCAGCAGTGGTTTTCATTTTTACAACTCTGTTTAGTAGAGAGTTAATAGCATAATAGAAAATAGCTGGGTTCTCAGCACTTTTATATTCAGTTTGTTGTAATGTCACACATCGTGTAGCCTTTGGAACATTCCAATATACATTCATGGGAGAGTGACTGAGAAGGGAAATAAATCCTATTATTATGAAGCAGTTTCTACCTCATAGGTACTGAAGGCATCTTTGAGAAATGCTCTTCACACTTGGAGAATTGCTAGAGGTGAGTGGTTTAATGATGAAAGAATGTTGAGGAAAAATGTCTCCAAGTGGCATCAAATATTGCCACTATTGGAAAAGAGTAAAACAAGAAAATGTGAACCTTGTGTCTTCAGATGTTCTTTCCTTTTCTTTCTTTTGGTACCGGGGATCAAACTCGGGACCTTGTGCTTGTGAGGCAGGCTGCGGAACCACTGAACCAAATCCCTGGCCAGATGATCTTTTAGAAGTTTTACTGTTAAAAGGCATTCATCAGCGCTGACAGAGTAGTACATTTTCTAAGAGTTCTCCGTTTCATTTGGCCATTTGCTGTCACATAAAATTTGCTTATTGCATGATCTTTTTCTTGAATGTGCTCTTTTTCAAATCTATCATTTTATAGCTTAATTTTCTGATTTCCTGTGGGGGCTGCTTTATTTGACAGAAAATGTTCTTTCTCTCCTAGCCCTTCTCCACAAGAAGATGGGCAGATCATGTTCGACGTGGAGATGCACACCAGCAGGGACCACAGCTCCCAGGTGAGTATGTGCCTCAGGGGAAGCGGCTGGGTGAGGGTAGGTATCGCAAGGGGAAAAATGAGAACCAAGACCTGTCATGTAAAGGTACAAGATCCCAATGATGAATGTAACCGTACTGTGTACCTAAAATGTACCAATAAACTCAATGAGAGGAAAAAAAAAGATGATTGACAATAAAAATTTTTATGTATTTGGAGTGTAAAAAAAATTGACTTGATCTGTTTCAAGGCACGGCTCCTGTTGGAAGTCCAGCTGTACTTGTTAATCACTGGTTGATGTGTGCGGTGAGCTGTAACTAAAGCAGTGTGGTTTGAAACTCTTTTAAGGTGGTTAATTTCTGATTGTTGGATTTATTTAGGCTAGTGTAGTTCTTGTGCTTCTGTAAAACTGGATTTTGGGCCATTTTACTCTCAAAGAGTTGGAATGTTCTTGTTGATAATGTATCATCCTACTATATAGGTTATGTTGGAAGTAGGTCTGAAAACTTCGGCCGAATCTGAAATCAAAGCAGTGACTTAACAAGGCTAGAGATAAAATTTCATCTAAATTATCCAAATTCCTTGAATTAACTGAAGAAGATAAATGTAGGTCATGAGGAGTTGACATTGTCGGAAATCTAGGTGGGTATAGTTTTGAAATCTTACAAAGGTTTGCATTTCAAAACTTAAAAAAAAAGATGGTTTGTATACAATTGTTGCTAATGATTCAGGGTGTACATGGCTAGCCCTTAGCTGCTGATATGTCAGACCCTGCAAGTGTCATTGCAAAATAAGCTCTCAGGACAAGAACCATTGCCTTTCTCCTCTGTATGGAGGGGCTTACAAATATTGCATGAATGTTTACATAAGTTGACAAAAAACTTTGTCGAGCAGGGCATGGTGGTGCACAACTGTAATCGTAGTACTTGGGAGACGGAGGCAAGAATATCTCACAATCTCGGGTTCAAGGCCAATCATTACATAACAGGTCTTGTCTCAAAAAAACCAGCCAAACAGAAAATATATATATACACAGTCTGCCAAAAGGTTGTATATATCAGAAAAGAAATGGTTGTATAAATACTTTAAAACTGAATTTCTTGAGACATTATGAGATAATACAAGTTACCTTTAGTCTCTACAATTACAAGAGGTGCTCATAGTGGTGGCCATGAGCTTCCAGGCATTTATTAGTACAGTGAACCTGAAGTGTATGTGCACTTCTTTTGGTGGACTATAAAGAAAGAAAAAAAACTCATGACCCATGGTCCCTAGGTTCCTTTGTCCTTAGAAATATTTGTCCAGTGTTCTATTTTAGGATGCAGCACACTTTCTCAATACTTTGGCCTGTGGTTCAATTTTTACTCTCTCTGAGACCCAAGCATCTGTACATTGAACACTAGCTTACTTTATCCTGTAGGGAAGCTTGTAATGGCAAGGCTCTCGTGAGAAGACAGTCTGACTGGAACTGTTGAGTCAGGGGCTGATGTTTGTCAGTTTGATCATAAGCAGTAAGCTAAATAAAAGTATGTAAAGTTCTCATGACAAAAAATGTACCAAGCATCCAAAAGAGAAATATTCGTCGCTGTAGTCTTCCCTTGAAAGATGTCTTCCGTCTGTATTTGCTTGTGTACAGACAGGTTGAAAATCTCCATTAACATTTTCCAGAATGTGCTGAGGAATGTTCTTTTAGTGATAAGCTCCATGAGAGAGTTCTGAGTCAAACGTGGAAAATATTGTTGTCCTGGTTCCTACCAGTAGGTCACATTGAGAAATGGCTCTGAAAACCCCTGCAGCAGTCCATTTTCCTAAGCCAGGTGTCTCCTAAGCTTTTCTGACCGCTACCCTAGTGACCCGAGGGACACCACAGCAAGTGCTTTTCTGGGCGCTAAGGTGAACAGCCTTCCCCATTAGAGCTCTCCTGGGGTCTAGATGAGAGCCTCTACTCTGAAATTCCAGATTCCTGGAATTTGTGAAATTCCAGAGAAAAGTGTAGGATTTTTAGCATTTTTGTCAGATTGTGGTGGGATTAGCAGTGTGTTCCCTATTGGGAAACAAGGACTGGAAGGAACATCTGCTGTTGCCAGGCAAAGGATAAGCCATGGCAGCAGACTGGCCAGTGCAGACCGGCTCCTTCAGCACACGTCGCTGTGTGGAGTAAGACTTAAAGAAGATAGGGACAGCATCTCTTACCTAAACTTTCAAAAAACTTTTTATACTTTTTTAACCAAAGACATAATTTTAAAATTTGGGATTTGGGAAAATTAATTTTTTCATGAAAGTGAGAAAATATTCAGGGTTAAGGAATAGAAAGTTAACAAAGGACTATCACTGCTTTATCTTTTGGGATATTTTCATATGCATCTGTGAAGAGCACTGGACAATTTCAAGATTTTTCTAGTGCAAGCAAGGACAGGCACAAGTATTTAGCCAGATAGGTGCTAAGTGTTAAATTTATTTTTAAAAATGCTTCTCACTTGTATATTCTTGGTCCAGAGAAAGAGGTGATACTGTCCTCATGGACAAATGGGGAAAAGTCAGTCTTTTTTTTTTTTTGGTACCAGGGATCGAACTCCAGTCCTTGTGCTTGTGAGGCAGGGGAAAAGTCAGCCTTTGTCCTAATTTAGTTATCCAGCTGGCAGAGCAGGGAAATGTTAAGAGCTGTGGCCCCCGGTCCTCCTGAAATAAGCCAGGTAGTCCGCATGGTATGGGGACTTCTGGAAATGCATTTAGAGTGGGGATCCCGTGGCCTCCGTAGTGTGAGGGAAGGGGAGTCTCTGTTGTCTCCGTTTGTAATAGGAGACAGACAGCTGCACTGTGGTTCTGCACGAGAGAGATCATGGTGTTGGGCGTCATTGGAAGGTGACCCAGGCTGGACATAGCCTCTGTTCTCTGTTCTCTGAACCTGTGACTTACTGTAGTGGATCCCTGTGCTCAGTTCAGGGTTGACTTAGGGACCTGGGAGAACCAGGCGTGGGCCAGAGCGGGCAGACCTGCAGTTTGGAGGCGCAAGAACCGAGAAGGGCAAGAGGAGGTTACTGTTCAGTTCAGAGCATGGATCGTGTGCGATTGGATCATAAATGGAAGGTGATTTAAAGCCTGAGAGTGGCAAGTTTAAGATTACTAAAAGGAAAGGAAGCCTTGGTAAAGGAAGGGAGTGCACCACCCTTATCTTAACATTAGAATAGGTTCAAAGATTTCGCTGGAGTTGTTTTTTATTTTATTTTATTTTATTTTGGGAGGTACTGGTATCGAACTCAGGACCTTGCACTTGCCAGGCAGGCTGGCTGCAGAACCACTGAGCTAAGCTCCCAGCCCCTGTTTTGTTTTTTTTAAATATTAATCAACAGATAACCTCACTCAGTTGCGAGAAAATCATCCCACCTTTTTTAAAAAATTGGAAGCATAAAATGTTACTAAATGCGCATCATGTTGGGAAGTGTGAGATACCAACTTGTCTGAAAATGGAAGCCTAAGTCTGAGTCAACAGGAGAGATGGAGGAGAGGAGGCACTGTAAACGGTGGCACCGTGTGCGTACACTGCGTGTGTGAGTGTGCCAGTTGCTGTTGACTTATGAAGATTCCCCTGGGGCCCCAGAGAGCTGACTCAGGACTCAGCAGTCTTATGCCCAGTGGAAAGCCTGGGTCCTCGGTGCTGCGTTGTGCTACCCAGTGGGGTTTGCGATGCTGAGCAGAGCAGACATGGCAGGTTTGCTCTCCTGTTAGTGGGGAGGTGCTGTGTGCAGAGCTTGTCTCGGGCCCTCTGGGGCAGCCCATCCCTGGATCTCCTGTGTGTGTGTGTGTGTGTGTGTGTGTGTGTGTGTAGAATGCGAGCTGGGGTCTGGTTGGGCCCTGCCCCAGGACCAGATCAGAAGACCCCTTAGCTTGCCACTCTCCTTCAGATTTCGTGTTCAAGGATGGCACTAAGTAACACCATCATTTTTAGGAATTTGTCATTTCTCTGGGTTCTAGTAAAAAAGAAATTTTAATTATTCTTGGCCTAAATTTTGGCCTAAAAATTTGTAAATGTTTGTGCTCTGGTCAGTAATACAATGTTAAATTCTGAAAAGTTATTCCAAAGTTTCTAGTAAAAAAGAAATTTTAATTATTCTTGGCCTAAATTTTGGCCTAAAAATTTGCAAATGTTTGTGCTCTGGTCAGTAATACAATGTTAAATTCTGAAAAGTTATTCCAAAAAACTTTGCCTGACATAGTTTTAAAACCTTGGGAAATGTTTAGATAATGATTCCTCTGCAACATTTCTTTCTGGACTGTAAAACCCAGGGCTCAAGTGAGGGTTAGAAACAGTTTGTCAGGATCTGAATATTGGCCCTACTACTCACCCATTATGGGATCTTAGGTTTTGTTTCAATTTTCTTAACATTAGATGGAATTTTAGCAGTTTCAGTTTTTATAGGGTTGATGCAGAGTAAAAGTTAATGTTTGTGAAGTGCTCAGAATAATGCTTGTCTCTTTACTGCCCGATAATACTTATTTCCTTATCGCATCTCCCCCTTATTGTTATTCCTCACCGATTTACTTTTGTCACGTATTCCTTTTTGTTATAGTTCGTTTTATTTTTCCTTAGCTATGAGCACAGTGGACCTGCAGTGCACCTTGCCTGGACTCAGCAGTTACCAGGCTGTTTTCCCCTGTCACTGTGTCCCCAGAACGGCCTCTTCACACCATGTTCTGTGGGTCGGTGACAACTGCCCAGCTTACTTTCTTTTCAAGATAACCATACTCAACTGTTAGACTATTTTTTCAGCCCTTTTCAAAAAATGGCCTGTTTCTTACATAAAAATCACTGGTACAGCCTTCTGAGTTTATTTTCTATTCATACTTGTCTAAATAGTAGAAGGAATTGGTCTCCTGTTTTCCCCCCTCTTAAAGTTTGAATTCTGTTTTACAGTCAGAAGAAGAAGCTGTAGAAGGAGAGAAGGAAGTAGAAGCTTTGAAGAAAAGTGCAGACTGGGTGTCGGACTGGGCCAGCAGACCTGAAAACATTCCGCCCAAGTAAGTGCTTCCTGTGTTGCTGGGCCTCGGCTGACCTCTGGTGCCTCTGGTCCCCAGGGGTCCCCAGCCAGGGTGTTTCGGAGGACGCTGAACTTCCCCTCCCGCAGGGAGTTCCACTTCAGACACCCGAAGCGCTCTGCGTCTCTGAGCATGAGGAAAAGTGGAGCCATGAAGAAAGGAGGCATTTTCTCGGCAGAGTTCCTGAAAGTGTTCATCCCGTCGCTCTTCCTGTCCCACGTTTTGGCTCTGGGGCTAGGGTAAGCACTGTTAAACTCCTGAGGCATTTTCCACTCCCTTCTTTCTTGTATTTTATTTTCAGAAGTAAGAAATATATATGAAAGTAGTTTGCATTGCTTTGCTTTTAATGTTTTGTGTAAATTGGGTGAACTTAAGACTAATTAAATTTGGTACACAGTTGGTCTACCTAATAAGCAGGCTTAATAGTAGATTTTTCCCCCCAGTACTGGGGAATGAACCCAGGGCTTCTGCACTGAGCCATGTGTCTAACCTTTTTGTAAATTTCATTTTTATATTTTGAGACAAGGTCTTGCTGATTTGTTAAGTTGGCCAGGATGGGCTAGAATTGGCAGTCCTCCTGCCTCGCCCTTCAGAGTGCTATGATTACAAATATGCACCACCATGCCTGGCTAGTGTTAGAGATAGTAGGATTTTTTCTTACTTGAGACTGAGATACTCATACCAATCTCCTGGGTGATGAGTTTTAAATGGAGTCTTCAACAATTTACAGTGGACCCTCAGATTATGACCAGCCAGACATACAACAACTTTGTTACAACTGCAATTTTAGTTTTAACTTATTCCGTAGTTTGGAGTTACAACCCGAATGCCAGCTACTTGGGCTTCCAGATGGTCTCAGATACAGATTTAACCCTGGAAGGAACATCATAATATCTTCTGTGGGGTTAAGAAATCCTGGGCCAGTGTCTGTCTGAGGACACGGAGATCGGCCTGTTTACAGGAGAGACTGATAGGTGTGTAGAGGAGCCTGAGCCTTCATTGACCAACTTGAGATACAACCAGCCCTCAGGAACGAATTTTTCTTTTTTGAGTTTGTTGTATAAAATTAAGCTAATCTTGAGTAAGTTAGAAAAATTTAGCATGTAAATTTTGGGAGGTTGGTGTGAAATGATTTTTTTCTTTTAACTTTGTAAGTTTTTATTCTAAAATCAGCCTTGAGCTGGGCATGATGGCACACGCCTGTAAGCCCCGCACTTGGGAGGCCGAGGCAGGAGGATCGCTGTGAGTTGGAGACCAGCCTGGGCTACATATTGAATTCCAGGAAACTCAACCACATAGTGAGACCCTGTCTGGGTGCAGGTTCGCGGGGAGTTACTAGTAACAGCTGTCTTAAAAGTACTGGCAGCTTTTGGTTTGATTTTGGGTTTTTGTTTTTGCCTGTACTGAGCACCCAAGCAATCTGGCCTATGACCTCCTCTATTTCAGTATCTGAAAGAAGTGAACTTCTTGACCACCAAAAGAAAAGGGTTGTCTGGAGGAGGGGCCCCTCTGCACTGAGGGGCTCTGTCCAGTATAGGTTCTGTGAGCATACAGAGTCCAGTGACACCAGTTTGGTCGGGCCGGGGATGGGTTCTTTACAGCAGGAGGATAGGGATGTGGCTCGGTGGTAGAGCACTTTCTGCCTAGTGCGCGTGAAGCCCAGCACCATCCAGGTCTGGTAAGTAAAGCGATGATCATTTCAGGGCGCGGGAACCTTTCCCAGGGACTTTTCGGTAAGGACCCACGGGGGTTGAGCTGATACGGAAGGAAGGAGCTGACCCGCGGTGCCCTCTGCTCCCTTTCAGCATCTACATTGGAAAGCGTCTGAGCACACCCTCTGCCAGCACCTACTGAGAAGGGGAGCTGCTGGGAGCACGCGTGGCCTGTGAAGTGCTGTATTGTCGCGTAGTTTATCTGAACTTGAGACCATCGTAAGCATGACCCAACCTGCCACCCTATTTTTACATCTCCAGTTCCAGTAACTCTCAGATCAGTATTTTATTCCAACTCTGTTGAGGCATTTTACTAACCTTACTCCCTTTCTGGCCTGTAAGACACTTTAGAGTTTCCTGACAGAGTTTCCTGCTGTTTAGAAATTTGCAAGGGCTTCTTTTCCTCAGGCGCCACCAGCAGATTAGTTTTGTCAGCGAGGCTGTCACCTCCTGTAGCACGGGTGAGCAGCAGAGCTGTGTCATCCATGTAGGAATTCGGCTCTGGCAGTGCAGCTCCGGCTCTCAGAACAAGAGCAGGTTAGCGTAAGCTCTGTTTTCCAACACAAAGACAAGCTGCTCTGAGCTTGAATTTATAGTTATTGAAAATAACATTTAAAAAAAAACAAAAGACAAAAAATATCCTGGGCAATAAAAAGTTATTTTAAACCAGCTTTGGAGCCACTTTTTTTCCAAGCCTCCTAATAGCGCCTTTTAATTTGTAGGAGGCAGGCTGTATAAACTGTAGGTAGGAAATAGAATAAGAACTAAACTACATCAGCAGATTTTAATACTAGTATATTGTAATGCTGTCTTTTCTATGGTATAGAATCTTTATTTCTGATAAGGAACGTCTCAGGCCTAGACATATGAAATTGCTTTTCAGATTTTTGTGCGTGTTGGTATTTTCATGTGTTAGCTGCATGTGAATTTTTCATAACTCTTCCATTTTTTTAATTTCTTCCTTCCTTTTTTTTTTTTTTTTTTTTTT